AACAAAACGTTTAATGAATCGATCGGTTTTCACCACAAAAATTCATGTATCAATCAGTAATTTTACTCTGCCCGGCGTGAGCAGTTGGTTAAAAGATTGCGTTTTGCTAAAGTTTGACATGCTTTTTAGTAGATACGAAGAAATTTTTTTCTTTCTACGTACTGGGGAAGCTTGGGGAACATCTCTCGCTGATTTTACATATAAGCTTAATAGAGGTTATCTAATTCTTTAATCATTGACTGATCGAAGTGTTTTGAATGCCCATCGTCGCATATATTGTTAGTGTTAGTGTTTACACTTTACTGCACATCCTTTGATCCGTCGCAAAAACCAGAATGGATGTTCCTTTTAATTTCTTCACACGTAAAGAACAATTTTCAGCACAGGTTTCGGACAGGATTACACGCATAACCCGAAGAAATTGACTATAGTGCTTATTGTTATCTCCTGATTGCAAATGGACTATAAGCGTCCTTAAAAAGGTTTCAATCTTCTCACATCATATTTTTCAGTGCTGGTGACCTTGAGGATAAGAGTCAGACGAACAAGCCTAATGCTATGAAGAAGTTTGATTCCAAGCGAAATGCCAAGTTCTACTTTGTCTGGGGCAAGCAAAATTTGAAGAAGTTTGATTCCAAGCGAAATGCCAAGTTCTACTTTGTCTGGGGCAAGCAAAATTTGAAGAAGTTTGATTCCAAGCGAAATGCCAAGTTCTACTTTGCCTGGGGCAAGCAAAATTTGAAGAAGTTTGATTCCAGCTCCAAAGAAAACTGAAGAAATGGAGACTATGCAGCTAGCGTAATACGGGTGGCGGCCTTGGGCAAGACGCTGGGTGACCAACAGCCTCAAGGAATTGTCTTTAAGGAAGATAGTAGTCATGAATAATGGGTGTTCGGGAACTCTTTGTAGTTGTGAATGAAAAGCTGCATAAAAGTAAGGCTAAATAAAAGGTAACAAGTAATCCTTGGTAAATTCAAGTCTACGCTCTTTTTTTTTTTTTTTTTTGGGTGGTTGGGGTGTTGTTGTTGGGGTGCCTGTGGCACAGCCAAACATGTTGCGGTGGCAAGTCACTGCGTTAAAAAAAAGACAAAATGGCGGACGCATAACCCAGAAGGCGTTGCCTGTCCCCTCCTCCTGACTTTTGAAGGGAGGGGGCAGGTCGTTTCAGATATGAACAAGAAAAATGGGTACCATCAATTTCACCACATGTGAATAAAAATATATGAAAAAGCAAGTTCAGGAGCCGGCTCCTGGTAAGTTACCCTTTTAAAACAAGGGAAGAGAGGAATTATTTTTAACCGGAACATTTCCACGATGCACCCCCGTCATCCAATCCCTCCGTTCCCCAAAATAAACATGACAGTTTTACGTTACTAAGATTAAGATTGGGTCGTTTGTTATCTGTATGCCCAGAGAAAGTACAGATCGACTTGTAAAGTTGTAGAAAATGATTTATTATTGCGCTGCCCGTGAGAGCAACGCCCAATCAAGAATTACCTTCCATTTATATCGAAAAAATACAAATTGGTGGAGGGAACTCCCAGCAGCCTTTACGTATCCCTTCATGGCCCCCTTCAATGGGGCCAATTTTGCGTCAAAGGGACGAGTCATTTCATGTCGTCTTGCGAACAGAGTTGGAAGTCGATTTGAAACGAACAGAAAATTATTGCCTGAAATTATTGGCCCTATATTTACGCCGAATGATTATCTAAATACGTCTTCGGATGAGGTCGTTAGCCTGCGCGGGAGCTGCAGAAACAATGCATGCCCGCCTACGGTCCCAACGGAGAAAGTTTTTTGTTACAATTCTCTCCCTGAGTGTGAAGTCTTTTCTTTTGATACAAGAAAGAAGAAAGAAATATGCTATTTGTAGGTCACCCCGTCAAATAGAAATATATCCACTTGGATAGTTAAAAGGTCTTTAAATGCATATCCGACATAAATAAAACTGAAACTTAATTTGCTTTGCAAGTTTTAAGAAACAGAAAACTGCTATTAAAACCAGACACTAGAAGGTGTATACTGGGCTCCCATAAAACCTAGACTAGATAGAAATAATTTATTGTATGAAAACATAGTTAATTGAGTGGAATGGTTATGAAACCCGTCAGACTCCTTTGTTATATGTTTTTGTGGACCTGAAAGTGCACAACGTTCAAAAGAATTCCTATCATTTTGATTGTATTGACCAATAAAAACGTTGCATTCATTTATTCCGTAACAATTTGCCAACAGAAAACAAAGGATTGTGCACTTTCACGGTGCTTTGAACATAAACTGCAGCACTGTTGTTTTTATCATTGATGTTTGCCGCTTTTCATAACCGGTCTCCTCTAATAACTATGATGAAAACGAGAAGTTTACCACAACAGACAGCTGAGAGCGTAAAAAGTAACCCTGCTAAACCCATTCCCTTCTCGGACACCACCCCAGCCCACGGGTCTCATTAAACTGCTTAAACTGTACAAAAATCAGAGCTAGGTGGGTATACCTCGTGGCTCCAAATTTTTGCGGTAGTTTATTTTTGCGGACTGGTGATTTTTTTCTGTTTTTCGGAAACTAATTTCTGCGACTAGGACACATTGGTTTTTCGCGCTGAGAATTAATTTTTGCGGTTTTCGCAAAGTACCCAGTACCTTCCCACGCGAAAGGGGTCCCTTTTTTAGGCTTCAGGTATAAAAAAGGGTAGAGATTTCCGTAGCCGATGTATATGAAAGGATAGGGAAATGCATCATTTAGGTCTGTAAAAAGGCCCAAAAAGGACTAGGCTCATGATCACGCTGTTTATTTTTTCCTAGCAAGAAAACATACTTTGCATACCGCGATCTTAAATCTTCTTTCACTTTTATTGCTACCTCGGAATCGTTACGTAAACATTTCCGGTCAATTGATTTTTTTTTGTCTAATACATCACATGCCATTCTTTAAACATTGAAATAACAACAGCCTCTGTATAAACATCTACATACGACATAAGATGATTGATCACTAAAAACGCGATTACAATAATTGCATAAATGATGATAAAAATTAAAAAAGATAAAATCAATGAAATCAATCCAAAAATTAAAAGCAAGGATATTGTTACCCAAAAGCTGGCGATTGAAGTCCTGAATTCTTCTATAAGGCTGTTGTGTTGATCAGAATCACTTGAATTTCACTGATCCAGTTGCTCGTAAAGTTTACGTGCCCAACAGTTTCAGTTTTAACAGTTAATTCGGGTGATTCTCTTAGCGCTTCTAACTCAGTAGGTAGCTCACTTAATATTCACTTAAGATTCACTCGGAAGAGTTTGCTTGTAAATGGGTCTCTCGTATAGTTCATGAACTATACCACTTCCAAAATGTACTCTTTCCTTCTTTTACTATGGGCTTACCATCAACAGCGTTTACATTCGTAGTTTTGGCATTCTTACGCTTCCACCGAAGATAGATTGCTCATAGCTTCGAGTCGCTTCGAGCTCCTTAGAATGTACTCTGCTGAGGTCCGCTGACCTATTCTACGCATACTCTTATATCTTGCGCACGCTCTAAACACGCCAGCCAATTTTATAACTGGGCTGTGCCACAGGTAGCCCAGTAAAAAGTATTTTAAAACACCAAAACTTATCCTTTCATATTTTATAAGCTTAGAACTACAATAATTTTTGAAATTTCCAGTTAGATCAGATTAGTCACTTTGGTAATCTCGTACCCAGATCTCCCGCGTTCAACCTAAGACAGAGTGAGACCTGGGTACGGGATTATCACATTGGCTGGAAGTGTTGAAACTTTGAGGCCACAGGGGCCGACGGGGTCCGAGTGGGAGGGGACCCTGGGAACGAGGTTTCATTTTAACCATTTGTATAGACTCTCTATACAGAAGGTTTACAGTGTCTGTGACGTAGGCTAGCAACTCTCTTCCCCACAAAACTTGTGGGGAGGAGTGTTGAGTGACGACCCTAATAACGGCTGCGAAGCGGACTAAAATTAACGTGGAAAGCCAGAGGTGGGTTTTTGTATGAACGCCTGGCGCTGCCTTTGGGCATTGGCAGCTTTTCCAAAACAAAATGACAAATGCCCGACAAAAACCCGGGGGGGGGGGGATGGGCGCACTTGGAATTGACTGAGCAATTAGCGTCGCGCACGGCGATAGGGCTGCCTCCTCCACAGGCTTTACCAACTCGCAAGCACGCGAGACAAGCGAGAAGCGCGAGAGAGGGATGATGGGAACGAGCGTAGAGCGCGACCACTCCCTTGGTCCCCGCTTTCCTTAATAATTAACTCAAATATTCCCCAGTGATCGCGAGTAACTGGGGACGAGGCAGGCGATAGGATAAGATAAGATAAGATAAGATAACTTTATTACCGTATTAATTCGAATAAGCCCCCAACCTCGAATTAGCGCCCACCTCGAATAAGCGCCCATCCTAAAGGCAGAAAAAGTTAATAAGCGCCCAGCCTCGAATAAGCGCCCACCCCACCCCACCTTCCTCCCACTCCCACTCAAACTCAAATAAGCGACAACCCCCACCCCACCCCCCAAAAATTGAATAAGTACTAATAAGAGACTTCTCCGAAGACGGAGTTTTCTTCAAAGTATTTTACAGGAACCTTGCCTTGTTACATCTTCGAGTTTTATTACTATTTATTGTTTTGTTGCAAAATAAACATACTACACTTGCTGAAAATGCTGAAAATTTAACTGAAGCGCCCAGCCTCGAATAAGCGCCCACCTCGAATAAGCGCCCACTCTCAAGGTCCAAAAATTTAATAAGCGCCCAGGGCGGTTAATCGAATAAATACGGTATATCTCTTCAGGATATCACTATTTACAAAAATCTATTTACAAAACTATTATGAACATGTGACAAAAATTAAAAATGTATTATCATAAAAGTTCTAAAATTAGAAAGATACTGAAAGCAGAGAACGACAAAATTAATTATTAAAACAAGATATTTTGCCGCATGGCAACATCGCGATTGGCTAGTGAAAAATTGACATGTCCACTTTTATCGC